GAGCACCCAAGGGAATTCAAGCTCTGTCCCTGGATCCGCCTCAGCGGCCTGTGTTTTTCTTGTGAGGGGCTTTTGTGTGGCAGTATGGGCAATATGCGTGGGGCCGTGGTCAAAAGGACCTGCTACATGACACTACCCAATCTGCTTGTTGCATGCTGTTACCTTTCCCCCTGTAACTCCTTTTAGACACAGCCTCTTCATGGGGGTGAAAGGGCAATTAACAAAAGTTTGCTTTGTGATATCCCACAATGGTCCATTTAGTTTTGTTAACCTTCTTAATGAGCAGGAGCTTATAGATTCTGATGGCATGGCAGTTTCAAGACTAATATTTTTTACAGCTATAAAGCAAAATCTTAAATATTACTTTATAGCACGTAACTTACAAACATTATAAGTAGAATTACGGCATGCAGCAGATTACAAGGATTTCATAAAGTCTAAACACATTGTTATAAGCCCAATACCCATCTTAACTATATTAACACACAAGTGAGCTGGACTGGTTTCCAGCAATGAATTTGTCAGTGTTGGCTGAAGTAACAGAGCTGGCACCTGGTATGCCAGCATCAAACAACTCACTTTTAGTGCCTCTATGATTAGCTATATCAGGTTATGAAATAGACAAATACAGATTATTTTATGAATGAGGCAATGTCTTCGGGTGTAGAAGATAATAGTGGCCACTAACACATATAACCCTAAAATCCAAGGCTGAATGGGTAAGAATCTTAAAATCTGAAAACTTAGAGGGTGTTATCAAAATAGATATATCTATGTTCTAGGACAATGGTCCCCAACACAGTGCCTGTGGGCGCCATGGCACCTGCAGGGGCATTTGTTTGTGCCCGCCAAGTGCTCAGGGCTGGCCCCGCCCCGGGTGCGTGGCGCATGAGCAGTGCTGGAGCCGGCCCCGGGTGTATGGCTCATGGGAAGTGCCAGCCCCAGGCGCGTGGCAAATTGGACACTCTAGCCCCCGGGCGTGCAGCGAATTGGCCGCCCTGCCCCCGGGCACATGGCTGTGTGGGGCACCGGCCCCAGACACGCGGCTATGGGGGGCACCGGCCCCGGGAGCGCGGCTATGGGGGGCACCGGCCCCGGGAGCGTGGCTATGGGGGGCACCGGCCCCGGGAGCGCGGCGAATTGGCTTGCCCCGCCCCCGGGGGGCCTGG